ATGCTGCGTTTACTATGCTGGACACCGTTCCTATCACCATTCACAGGATTCTTCTTGGCAGCAACAGAACATTGATCAGTTTCTTCCACCCTTACCATTCATCTCAATTTGAAGTCTGCGCCGCCTCATCCTATTCTCCAAACATATTCCTCTTAGAGCACGGACCCTCTGCTCAATTTCTAAAGCTTGTGAGAAGTTCCAAATACGAACAACACCTTCCTCACCACCACAAACAATTCGATCTGCTCCAATATCGACTGAGAATAAATTGCACCAAATCCATACGGCATTCTCTGGGGTTGCTCTGTATTATATTGGTCTATGTCTTTAACCCTTAAAACCCTTTTCACCCAAGGAGCGCCTACTGGCCCACAACAACTTTCGAACATCAATTAGTGAAAGTTTCTCATTACTAGAAGCTAAAACAAGCCAAGGAAACTCAAATGCTAGGGCATAAACCGCACCTGACTGAGGAATCCATGTTGCAACCTGCACAACACTAGGTTTTTCAGACTCACTTACGATCTCAAACACGTTTACTGCCCCATCTTCTCCACCAGTAAAAAGGAAGTCTCCAGTGCAGCTCCGTGCCAAGGCATAAGTATTAGCAACATTAGCATTGTAAATAACATTTAACAGAGTCCCACTATTAGTCTCCCAACCAAGCACATCTGAACCCGATGTGCTGACAACAGTTGTGCCATGAGGAACGATGCCCCAAACCAAATCACCATGCCTCAAGGTCTGTGTGCACTTCATTGATGACCGATCCCAGACGCTAACAGTCATATCCCAAGAACCACCATATATCCTAGTAAGATCCAAAGCAAGAGAAGTTATAGGCCCCTCATGTCCCCAAAGTCGAAACTCAGTGTTCTGTTTCTCAACACCCTAAAGGTCGAACAAGTGTAGAAGACCCTCAACTGCCTTTCAACAATGGATAAAGCCATCAGAACCCCCAGCAATCAATAGTTTAGTCTCTCCTGCAACTGCCCTAATAGTACAACCAAGGGGCCGTGATAATGCAATTGACAACCCCTCTTCCATATCCCACATTTGTACAAACGAGTCATATCCAGAAGTAAAAATGAGCTTGGCAGAAGCCAATAAAAACACAGTTCGAATAGCATCAGTGTGACCATATAAAACATCAATGCTATAACTTCCTAATAAAGTCTTGCTTCTATACTCCCTCTCCAGAAACAATTCCTTCCATGACTTCTCATCCGAAAACCCTGCACCTAATGGTGCCGAAGCAATCAGTAGCCCCTACCTCTCACAATAAAATTCCTTCCAAACCTGATGCTCAGACGCTATATTATGAAGAGTTGTTGACACACAGGACACTGTACCAAGCTCTTTAGGGTCAAGACAATTCAAAATTTCTGATATTAAGGATGGTGGGAGATCAGTGATCGACAACATCATTAGGTGGTAACTGTTCTGAACTACAAGAACTTGAAATGCCCTTCTTAGAATTACGGTTTTGAAAGTTCGAAATTCTCAGTTATGGAGTTGGAACTAAAACGATTTGTTTCAGAACAATTTGCTAAATTCTTAATAACCTAGGTACTTTCTTGGCATTCAAATGCCATAAAATGAATGAATTTTAACCTAAAACTGTTAATTCAATGGTTTAAACCAAAATCACCTGATTCAAAAGCTCAAATAAAAAAAAAATCAAAACCAGAACCTCAACTTACCCTTAAAATCAGATGCCCAAACCCTCCCTAGAAATTCAAAACACAACTACAGCAGTTTAAATTAAAAAAAAAAAAAAAAAGGTCAGAAAATATCCAATTAATTGAAGAAATTATAAATGTCAATGATTAATTTAAGGAGTGCAGGATCCAATCAAAACCCAGAAAGTCAAATGAAAAAAATAAAGAAATAAAAACTTGAAGTAAAAAAGATATCTCGAAGATTAATAATTCGTTCTTTGGAGCAGAGAAGCTGTTAGGATGGGATTTTTTTTTTAATAAATTAAGGGAAAACAAGGATTATAAAGAAATTGGAAAAGTTTTGGAATTTTGGGTCCAAAGCGATGGAAAGCTGCGGAGAAGGGGTTTCTTATCACCGATTCACCGTTCATTTCAGGGAAGGATCGGACAGTAGAGATGACGAGAGCAGGAGTCATTGAATTTGTGGTTTAAGATGTGCCACGCACAAACACGCTGGTACTTTTATTTCTCCATCAATTTTTTTTTTCTTTAAATTCAATTGAAATCGGTTTGGTTTAGCCCTACACCGAACAGGGTGATTCCACTTGGACTGCAAGCTAAAATTCTGGGTTGGTTGGGCTAAGGGCCTTTAACTCTTCGGGCCAACATGTAGAAGAACATGCCAACGGCTTAGAAATGGGCCAGGAGCGGAGGACAGCACAATCAAACATTATTTTATCAAGACATTTTTTTTTATTTATAGTGTTTTTAGTAAATTCTTCCCAAAATCATTAATAACTAGTTTATGAAAGTAAAATCATCATTGATAATTTAATGGTAATAAAAAATTAATTTTAAAATACTAAATTAACGGAAAATTTTCCCAAGGATATATAATAAGATAATTTTCCAAACTAAATTAACAATTTGAATTTCTCTTATAACATTTCTGTATGGTGCTGTGTTTTTTTCTGTTTTTAATTTCTTGTTATAATTTGGGAGTTAGCCGATGGCTTTTACTACTTTTTTTAAATATATATACAAAGAAAATCACATTTTGAGAATATAAAAAAATACTAAAATTTGAATTTCAAATTTACTAAATATTATTTATTAAAGATGATTGTATGAATAAAAGTTAAGTTTTAAATTTAGATTCTACAAATTTTCCTTGATCATTTTTTTTCTACACCAAATATTTAATGTATTACATTCAACTTGTTGGCTTTATTGCATGAAATCTACTTTGTATATTACAACCTAAATTTTAACGATGAAAGCCCCTACTTATATCAGGAAGATTATGGTTCATATATGTTTGAACAATGCTAGAGTGAGAATTCCGGAGGGAATATCCTTGCGGCAATCGCTTTGAATCAGTGAAATGGTTGTTAATCATGTAGTTGTTTGGAACCCATTTTATTCTTGCCTGCCCCGAGCTGTCCAAAGACTGTGTTAACCAAGAGTTGTTGGATGGATTTTGAGAAGCAAAATGAGGAATTGGAAGCTGAAGAAGAAATGCAAGCTTGGGCGTTGAAATTTTGATAGGAAGCAGTGAAGGGTGCTTGACTAATAACCCAGAGCTAATAACCAATTATTTTTATACTAATGGTAATTTTATAATCAATTATCAGATCTAGTTGGCCTCTTGGGACCATTTTCTTGCTGCTGAAAATAATTAACCAACTACATATATCAAAATGAAAGTGTATGAACATATACGAGACGATTGATATGTCCATCCAATTCATCAAATTGAAGAATAAATCACTAATAATGGGTTCCTGGTTCTTACCTAAATGATATGTATATATAGAAACAAGATTGGTTCTGACAAGCCTGTTCAATTATTTAGCCACACTCCGAACGCCTCTCTTCGTACACAAAAGGAGGAAAAAATTAAGAATCCGCCACCTCATGCTTATGAAAACCGGAAGAAAAAGAAGAAAGAAAAAAAAAATGAATAATAAGGCTTCATTTAGAAGTTGTCAGGTTGATGAATTCAAACATTGAAGTGACTGTTGATGAGCAATACTAGCCTCTAAGCTGCTCTGTTTTTTTCTCCATCAATTAACTTAAAACCTATTTGGTAACGCAGTCAATTTCCCAAGAGAAGAGAAGCTAGACTTGTCATACTTGACACGATAATGCATTTAACTTAGATTTATGCCTAAAACAACCTCGAGTTTATATAAACTTATCAATTAAGTCCACTTATCGATTGGTAGCTTGATTATAATTCATTCACTTAAAATATAAATCATTAATTTTGATAAGACTTTGCTTCTCATTTTTATTTTAATAAAATAATCATATTGTATTCTTAAAATATAAACGCTTATTCTTTTCGGATCATCTCCCAATGCATAGATTTTCAGATTGAGGATATTTACTTTTTTTTTTAATTGAAGATTACTTAAATACCCAAACTAGCAACAAAATACTAGTTTAAAGAAAACACACCCACAAATAGCTATTGATTGACGACATTAAGCCCATGGAATTTTTTTAAATGGTAATTGAATTATAATAAAATTTTCAATGTAATATCTAAAATTTTAAATTTTTAATATGATATTTAATTTATAAATTTATTAATTAATATAATATTTTATTATTATTAGAAGCTAACTAATCAAAATAATTTGAATGTTAAAAGTGAAATTTGCTTTTGGCTAGTTTCTTTCTGAAAATTTATTTAATATATCGTTAGCTAAACTCTATTATATATACCCACTTAGCTATTGTATGAAATAATAATATTTTCGTATAGTCTAGTGTTTTTGGTTAGATTTAAAAATTTTAAATATAATATAATAATAAAATATAAAAAATAAAAATGATATGATTTAAAATTTTAATAAAAATTATATATATATATGAATTTATTAAAAATTAAAAATGTAATTCATATTTAATGTGTTTATATATTATGATATGATAATTTTTGTATTTTATATATATTTTACATGAAATAAATATGATATGTATATATGAATTGATAATTTTATTTTGATTATTTAAAATAAGTCAATTTGAATAAGAAATGCGACTGAATTATTTTTATTTGGTTTATTTGATTTTTTTTATTAAATTACAAAAGTTAAAAATTGAATTTTATGATTTGATTTGATTTTTTTTCTATAGAAATCGGATCAAACCTAACTATGAAAAAAAGAAAGGACGAATGGATCTTATTGAGCAGTAAAAGATGATCCTAATTTTCCTCCTAATTTATCTCTCATTTGCACTATGAAGAACCCATTAACAGCTTAACCATTTTCCCTTCTACCCTTCGCCAAGTCTGCTCACTCTCTTCGTCCCCTTTCTTCTTTACCAATGTCTGACTCCTCTTCTTCCTCCTCCAACCCAGCATCCCCCACAGCCACCGGTGGCCGAGACATCACCCCCACCGTCGTCACCACCTCAGAAACAGCATCATCATCAACTTCCGAAGCACAATCCTCCATCGAAGCTCTTTCCTCTACCATCTCCTCTGTCGCCATCAACCCCACCATTGTCACCGCCTCAGAAACACCATCATCATCTTCATCATCATTTTCCTCTTCCAAAGCACAATCATCCATCCAATCTCTTTCCTCCATCCTTTCCTCCATCCCTTCCTCTATCTCTTCCTCCCCAAACCCTTCCTTTTCTCTTCTCCACGACCCTACCATATCCTCCCAAATCTCCTCCCTTCTTCGCCACCCTGACTCAGGCTCAGGCGACAACAACCTTTGTCGCTGGCTCTATGACACCTTCCATTCAACGGACTCGGAGCTCCAACTCGTTGTCCTTCGTTTCATTCCCATCATCGCTGGAGTCTACATCTCCCGCATCGCTCTGCGTAAATCCCTGGCTGGTTTTGAGGCTATTTTATTAGCCCTTTACGCTCATGAAACCACTGCTCGTGAAGGCCAACCAATAACCGTTCACGTACCAGATTTGTCGCATCCTAGTATTTATCATGAAGCCAAACCGTCTAACAAAAACAACGCAACCGAGCTAAACCTAGCGGTGATATCTCCCAGTTTGGAGCCTCATGGAACTATGCGATCGACAAGAAGGGCAAGGATTGTTGGGGTTGCCTTAGAGTTGTATTACAGTAAGATATCTCAAATGCCAGTGAGTTCCAAGATTGAATTTTGCGAGTTTTGCGAGATTTGGGCAGGTCAAAACAGAGATAAGTGCAAAGATGGTGAAGATCATGGCGAGAACAACGGTAGCAATGATCAGATCAACAACGGTAGCAATGATCAGATCGAGAAGGTAAAGAAGAAAGAAGGGAGGATTCCTTTGCCATGGGAACTTTGCAGCCAAGTTTGAGGGATCTTGGGCATCTGCCTTTTGGGGTTCCTCATAGAAGTAAGGAGCTGTTTGATGCGGCTTCTTCAGTAACAAAGAGTTTGTATGGAGTCTTTGCATGACATTTGATGCTTAAGGCAATTTTGGCTATGGTAGCTTCTTCGACTTGGAAGAGGCTTGGATCCAAGAATAATATTGATTATACTGAAATTGAAATGACAAATGTTATATCTTGTAATATCAAATTTTGATTGTTCCTTTATGTTTTCAATTCATTTATTTTCAGTAAAGTTTATTCTCAATCTGTCCCTTTCTTTTTAATTTTCTCAAATATTGTTTTCTCTTATTGATTAATTTTTGCAAAAACAAACAAAAAAAGTTGTAATGGTTCAATTAGTAGAATCGTACCCAAATAGACATTAATTTAATTATTACAATATTTAGTAAAGGCTGGATTTTAAAATTTTTGCAATTAATCATCTTAGAATGAAGTAGTGAGCATCTCCTTTATCTTTTTAATAAAAGAAAGCATTTTTTTCCCTATTTTTTCTATTACCTTTTAGTGTGATTATAATTTTCATTAGCATTGGTTATGTGATGAAGGAAACATTGGATTTTAAAATAATATTGAAAAAAATAATAGAGCTAGACAAAGGCCAAAGCCATGAAGTCTATTAATTGAAATTAACATATAACAATGGTACAACCTTGATAATGAAATAAATCTCAGAACAAACTCCTATAAATTATTGGTGTTAAGTACTAAACAGTCTCTTCTCTCTCAAAAAAAAAAAATAGTAGACACAGAATATTCAATAATGCAGCATATGATTACTGGAGAAAATCAAGTTCGACAATGGCAAAAGAATTTTAAATCCCCAAAAGTGTGGGCAGAAACGCAATTGCCAAGGCAATGAAGGAAGCTAGACCAGAGACTGCAATGTTTGAAGCTCCGTTGCCATTTCCACTTGAAGGGCTGGGAGCTAATCCTACCGGGCCAAGACCTGACCAATATTTTCAATTGATTTTCAGAAAATGCTTATATTAATATTCAAAAGTCAAAAACAGATAAAAAAAAAAGTAGTAATATTTCCTACTATTAACCCATGTATAGTCAAACCGGTTGAATTAAGAACTTGTGGCTTATTCAGTCCAATTAGAGGTGCAATCAATAGAATTCAAATCGATATATTATTAAATTTGAGTTTCAGTTTAATTTTAAATTTGATGTTCAAAATTTAACTTAAATTCAATTAAATTTTATTTTTTTAGTTCTTGACTCATGAAAGAAATCAAATTATTCGAGCTCATTTGATTAGATTCAATTAACATATAAAAATAAATTTGATTCTTATATTCAATAAAAGCTTAATTATTTGTACTCGAACTCGAATTAAAATATTTTATTAATTAAAATAATTAAAATATAAAAATTTGATTAGGTTCACGAATAATTCAAACCAGATATAAAAATATTCGAATTCGAGTCAATTGATAAGTCAAATTCTTTGAGTTCGAATTCGACTCGATAATAATCGAGCTGAATTTAAATTTTATTCAAATTGAATTTGAATAGCTTACAAATATTAATATATTATTTATATCTCTAAGTCCGATAAGAGATAATAAACTAAATTTTTTAGATTGGTCAAACGCTCGACTAGGTTAATTAAACCAAATTGGATTAAGAATTAAATTAATTTTAATATTAACTTAATTATTTTATTACTTAAAAATTATCGGTAAATGATGAGATTTAAATGTTTAACTTTTTTACTTTTATATTAAAAATCATATAATTAAAACCAAATACATGTTTTTATTAAATATTTATTATATTTAACACTCATTTAATATTAATATCCCTTTTGAATTGGATCAGCAAATTAAATCAATTGAATCAAAACTAAAAATTTCTAATGATTTAACTTTCGATCCGATTTCAAAATCATTGCATAGACTGGCAAGCCTATTGTTAAACCATGTTCTAAAGTACCCCGGAATTCAAAGTAAGAAAAATTGATTACCTGGTGTCGTACTTGGGGTTGGACCTCCGACTGGGGCGCCATTGATTACTGAAGAAATGAAATGAAAGAAATGTTAGTTGATCATATATGAGCTACTAAACAGTAAATAGTATAGTATATAACAAAATTGAATGTTAAAAAAAAAAATGCTAATTTAAAAGTTGCCCAAATATCCTCCTTACGAGTCATGACGCTTTTTTATCAAAATTAAAAATTATACAAAAGTTTGAAATCTAAATGGGTTTTGTTTAAGTCTAATTAATGGTATTAGCAATTGATTAAAATTTTATAAATTATAATTCAAGACTTAATTTAATTAATTTGTATAATTATTTTTTAAAATAATATTAATAAATTTAAATATTAAATCTTAACATTCATAATTTTTTTATTTTTAAATTATGAATTTTTTATTAAAAAATTATATAAATTTTATAATCTTAATGACTAAATGTTAGAGGTGATTAAAATTTTTCAAAAAATACATTTGTTTTTTTTTTTTTTTTTTTTTTCAAGGAGTGATGTGACGGAACCTAAAAGGAAAGGCCACGGACTGAGCACGTGAATCATTTAGATAATTTCTATTTAATAAAATAAAAAATAAAAGAAAGACAAAACGCGTGATATTAGTTAAGAGCAAACCCCTTAGCCCAGAATCTTAAATGGCCATGATAAATCAGAGAGGCGAAGTCGGCTCGCAGCCCCAAAACCCGGTCACCCAAAGCTGGCGCTTTCTCTTTTTTTTTTTTTTTTTTCATTCATTCATTAATGCCAAGGGGCTTCGACTTTGTAGATTTAAATTGATGAGTTTTCAATTAAACTGCCTATATCTATAAAGTTGTAGATATTTTAAGGAATAGCCAATTAGTCACAAAAATCATACAATAGCTACAAAAAAAAACCAAAATATCATATTTAAATTTAAATTTAAATTTAATTTAATTAATTCATATAATTATGATTATTATAAAATAATATTTTGTAAGCTTAAAAACTGAAATTACAATATTTATAATTTTTCCTTATATTAAAAAAATATATACTTTATAAAAAAAGGAGATTTAAGTTATCATCAATTATATTGTTATTTTCTTTTATTTTTCTTAATAATTAAGTAAAGGGTGTGAAAACTAGGCCATCAACTTAATAAATTATCAATCACCAACCAGAAATTGTTAATTATGAAACTTGTGTCTTGCATTTTGAATGCATTAAGGTTTACAAATATGTGTTTTCTTAATTTTCTTTTTTTTTTTTCTACTTTTATGGTAAATGCATGATGAATCCATGCGAAAACAAGAACTCAAGTTTGTTCAAAACTTCAAAAAGTTTTTTTTTTATATTTAAAATTATCAAAAATTAAATTTTAATCACTAAAATTAAAAAATTTAACATTATATCTTTATTATTGAGTTTTTTCTTAAATCAAGATGATTTGTAATCATATTTCCAAACAAAGATACTTTTAAAACTTTATATTTTTTAAAGCATGTAATTTGGAACAACTAGATTCCATGTAAGTGTTTTATTAAAAAAAATTATGTTCACACCATTAATGTTTCTTTCAAGCTTCCTTCTTCATTTCTCCCCTAAAATCATATTCATTTATCTTTCGAATAATTAAACGTCAATCTTCTTTTTTTTTTTTTCATTAAAAACAAAAGGATTTCAATACACCTAATTGGGTGAATAATAAATGCATACGTCCCATATTCACAAACTTTAATGTTTTTGTAGTTAAAATAATTAAAAAAAAAAGATAGCAAGTTTGAAATTTCTGGTAAAAATGCATTTATAATGAAGGAAATCAGAGGCAAAATCAAAGTGAACAAACCTGATAACATTGGTTCCAATGTGGACCCAATTGAATAATGAAAGTGGCATAACCAGAAACGAAGTTCTTTTGCTGTCAACGTTAGGGTTGGTTGTAAAACAGTTATGACAATTGGCATGGGCAATTGTAACCGGTGGGGCACTAATTCAGACAGATAGATATTAAATTCCCTTATAAAAATGCTGTAGTTCCTTCCTGTTTTAATTTTCTTTTGGTAATTTTTTTTTTTTTAATTTTTATACTATTCCCAAACAATCTTCGAAAATTTATTCTTCTGTCCACATTTGAAAATTCGTATCTAAAACTTCGATATGGTAGTTTTGCCAAATAATGACTACAACATGCATGCTCAAAATATGTAATATCCTTAATTATGTCTAAAATATTATTTTTTTTATAAAGAATGACGCAATATAAAAATATGAAAAGAAATTATAAATATTTAAATTTAAATTTATAAAAAAAATTATAAATATTTAAATTTGAATTTAAAATTTATTGAATGTCTAAATGTTAAACGTGATTTAATTAATTAATTGAATTAAATTTTAAATTTTTAAAATATTATTTTACTTAGAATTGATAAAAAAAAAAAAAAGAAAAAGAAAAAGACAATAGAATTGGCAGGAAAAGAAAAAAAATTAAGATCTTAAAGCTCTCGGTGTGACAAGAGAATATTGAAGATCAAAATCTAAACTATTAGCAAAACAATATAGACCTTATATATTTCACACAAAAAAAAAATTTATATATAATTAACTTGTATATCTTCACCAAAGAGATTAACAAGAATCTCAATTCAATTTTTTTTGGATTTTTAATTCATCTTTTATATTAACAATAAATTTTTTAATTTTTCAAAATATTATTATATTATTATTTTTTATTTTTTATTATGTGTCATTCTATGACCTTGAAAATAAAATTTTTATGGATGTCATTTTTTTTGTTAATTTGTTGGATATTTAATTATTCAAACCATTGTTTTTTAGCCTATGCATAAAGCTAAGCCCCTTTCTTTACCAGGACCAACTTGTTATTTTCTAACATGATTCATGAGATTTTCCCAAAGAAAAAGCAATTAAACAGCAAAAGAAAGGGGAGCTAAAGAGCAAGAAATTACTTGAGCAGAGGCTAACAGGAGGAGTAGAAACATGACAAACAGTGGGAAGATTAAGAGCCCTGTTCATATCAATGTCGAGCCCGTAGCTTGCGGTTGTATTCTTATCCAACAAATCACACAAACATTGAGGACTGCTTTCCACAAGCCCCGCCAGCTCTGGACAGCAAGGCTTCTCAGGCTTCGTTAGGTTGCTCCCAACCTCCACGAACGTCAAGCAATCCGACAAGTTCAACAAGTTCGTCAAACAGTCCGGCGTCGGTGCCTCAGCAGACGGCCCGAAGGCCACAGCTGGCCCAGGTGCAGATGACGGTGCCTGTGCTGTCGTGCCGCTGCAGAGTGCTAGTACAAAGATGGAGGCAACAATAATTATGGTCTGCTTAGCTGCCATTTTTGTGGGTGAAGGCTAAGAGTACTGTGCGAAATGGAAACAAGTGAGATTTATAGAAAAAGATTGTTAATACTGAAAGAAAGAGCGGTGGGTGTTGGTAGTGGGAAAAGCAGAGAAATTATCAAATTAGAAACCCCAAGTAATGCCAAGCCAAAATAATAAATTTAAATTTTTATATTTCAAGTAGGATTTAAATTTTGATAATTACAATTATAAATTTAGAATTTTACTAACAAATTAATTTAAATTTTAATCATTAAATTATAAATTTAATACTCTACTAATACATGAAATGAAATTAATAACTTTATTGTGACTATCAACTAAGTTTTTCTTGGAACTTTGCTCAATATTTTTCTCTCACCGCCCCAGAGATCATGGGAAAGCCATTTTGTTGTCCAAATTAATTAATTTTGTTGTTTACTTTTCTTTTAAGTTTCCAAGTTTCCTTTTTCAAAAAAAAAAAAAAGGTTTTCAAATTTCCTGTATTATGATTTTCATCTAGGATGGAAGCAAAGAAGTATATATGTCCTTGCAAATTAATCCGAAAATCTTTACTGTTCATCGTCAATGAAATTTTTGTCTCAATGACAAGATCGAGATATTGAACATTTCGATTTAAAGAATACCATTGAGGAGCAATTAAAATAATAGAGTAAGGTTAAACGCACTTTTCCTAATCATAACGTGTGGGGAAACTTAATAGTGGACTTTACATGGAAAGGCAAATGTTTGTGAAAATTAAGCCTCCCAACCTGGCAGGCAATCACCACCAAAATTTGTACTTGTTATGACCATATATATCAATAATGAAACATCACAAGAAAGGATCCTTCTATACGTATCTAATATTTTATTTTTATTTTTTAATATTTGAGTTTAATAAAGATTAAATCATAGCCATTGAAATTAAAAATTCAGCATTTTGAATTTGAAATTTATTTCAATTCTTTACATATAAATGATATATAATAGATATGAGATTTAAATCTTAACACCTAATCATTTTTTTTAAAATACAACTTTTTATATAAAATAAAATTAAAAATCTAATATTTTAACATAGATCTACATAAATGGTTGGCATTCTATATTCATTTTGCAATGAGAAAACTAAGAAATTCAGTCTTTTTCTCCTTTTTCCAACCCAAATCAAAGGTAGATCTATAAGTACTATAACGTGTTAGGAGTCCCTAAGGAATGATATATTTGTCTACGTTCGGATTATATAATTGAAATTTTTCTTAAGTTTATGGATATTTGAATTTTTTTTTTTTTTTTGGATACAATTAAGGCAAAAAGCATTTATGATGAGTTATATCAGATTAGGAAAGTGTTACCTAACTTTGTTAATTATAAGCCGTATGCATATGCATCCCTATAACATTCATAACATCAAACAAATGTTGAGCTAGCTGTTATTGCATCCTTTTTTCCTCTTTCAGATCATATTATATATTGTCAATGTGGTGCTTGCTCATATTTTCTCTCCATTTCATTTTATTTTTCTTTGTTTTAGTTTCGTTGGTATTAATATTAGCAGTTGGAAATTGTGTACGATAAAAGAGCAACTCTATTATAGCTTTAATACAAGTAGTCACATAAAAGGAAAAAAAAAAAAAAGAAAGAAAAACAAGGGAATGATTATTATTTTACACATTGATAATAGAAATTTTAAGTTTCACATGTCAGTTTATATTATGTACATATGCTTATTTAGTAATTATTCAAATTTATTAATTTTTTAATTACAAATTAAAAGATATGTAACAATTTTGTAAATCTCATTATGAAGTAATAAAAATTTTATAGTCAATTTATAAAACTAATAATTTTTCAAAGGAGAACTATGTAAGCATGAAAGGCTTTTCTTTTTAGTTTACTATGTATAAGTGCATGAATTAATAAAATTTAGGTCAAATTATGATATCAGTCTTTGTATTTAGACGAAAATTAGAATTTAATCCAAATACAATAATTTAAACAAATTTAATCTTTATATTTCTTGAGACGTAAAATATTAGATCAAGATTCAACAGAATTACAAAACCACGATTAAATTTCTGGGGCCGCAATTTTTTATCTATGTGAACAGATAATGTAATTTTTTCGAGGTTGGAAGGCTAGATATCTTGGTGAGAAAATGATTTCGTCTAATCTAATGTTTCCTCCTTTTATGGTTGGTTGTTTTTCTTCTTTGAGATCAAATTAAGGCTTTGATAATGGTTTCTAGACGTTTAGATTGCCCTCCCTCCCCTTCTTTCCCAATCTATTTTTATCCTTTTCCCTGTTTCTTTGTCCTGCCTTATAATTTGAGTTCTAGCTAGTAATTACACATAATTTTCAAAAGTTATTAACTAATCATTAGGCCAGTAGCTCAAACAAAGAAAGGAAACCAGCCAACAGCCAACCACTTAAGATTTCTGATTTCGTATCAAGTACAGAACAGAAAATAATTCCGACGTGAGTTGATCAAAGATGTCAATTTATTCCACAGTAACTTGTTCTCCTCTAGCCCTGCCTAATCCTTTATCCTAGCTCAAGACCTCGAGGCTCAAATCCAAGACTTTCTAAACTCACTAATCATTGGGACCATGCAATTTCTTCACAGGTTAATAATGCCAGTGCTAGTGGGGTGGCAGCTCATCTAGGTGGCCTAAAAGCCTTAAAATCAATTAGCCCTAAGGCAGGTAGAGGAATCCTTAACCAGCTAATTGTAGAAGCAGCTCTCTTGTCAGGCGGCCAAGATGGTTCAAGGTGTGCTTAACCAAACTTATGAGGGGGCTGAACACTGCTTAAAAAACTAATTACTATGGTGCAAAGGAAGTATCAGAAGCTCTCCTTTCCCTCTTGCAGCTTTCCCCTTCGGGTGCAAAATATCTCCTCTCTCATAGGCGAAGTAAAGGCAATTACACCCTCTCCTTTCTTCAATTATCATTATTTCATAAATACCATATGATAGCTATACATTAACACTGCATAGAATATTAGTGGCATCGTTCAATGTTTTTTATTGACGAAATTCTTGGCTAACAGAATTAAAATTTCACTTAATGCGTAGGATTCCTAGCGAGTGCATTAGAAATAAACTTGGTGGTATAGAGAATCCTAATGAAGAGAAATTGGATGCCTTATTGCAAAAATTTTTTAACGATTTTAAAGACAATGAAATCGAAGCCAACGGATGGCCCTTAATGCTGCCAACTTCTACCATTTCCAAGGCCGCCCAGTGGCTACACAAAAATACTGTCCAGAAAGTACCCTAAAATGTGCATAAATTGTGTTCATCCTGGTTATGTTAAGACCGACCTGAATTTTCGCACAGGGCAATGAGTGTGGAAGAAGGGGCTGAAGGTTCAGTTAGGTGTGCTTTAATACCTGATGCAGGCTCAACAGGAAGTTATTGGACCCAAGTGGCGGAATTTTGACCGAATGCCATATTGCAAAGATTCTTGAAGGATTTAAAAAAATATACAATTGAAGTTGAAGCCAAGGGATGGTCGATAGTGTCGCCAGCCTATAGCATTCCAAAGGCGTTCCTCAATGTTTACACAAAAATTCTTGCCAGGAAGTATCCTAAAATGCACATAAATTGTGTTCATCCTGGCTTTGTTAAAACTGACTTCAATTGGCACAAAGGGCAAATAACTTCCGAAGACGGTGCCAAAGGCCCTGTTAAATGTGCTCTCATACCTGGCTGCTATTTTTATCAGACTGAGGTTGCTGAGTTATGACCAAGCCTCTTGTCAAATTGATTGAAACTATAATTGAGAGTGGAGATTATGCATTTGAACGCAAAAATAATAGTTTTTTCTTGTATGAAAATTAAGGTGAGATAGTATTTATACTGCTGTTCGGACCCTTCATAGAGTCGATTTTTTACATTAATAAATTATAAAAAATATAAAATTAAAAATCAATATTTGAGATCTAAATGAATTTTATATTTTAATATGTAGAAAAAATTTGTTTATTATAGGTAACAATAAAATAATTATGAAACTATCAAATTTAATTTATTTAAATTAAATTTGATTAATCTTTCATATTCACAATTATTGAGAAAAAAAAAACCCAACAACTATTATATATTAACTCATAAATCATAATAATATTTAATTTAATTTTTTTTACTATTTAACCTTCGTAATATCTTTTGATTCAATACCTTTTTTTTTTTTAATTCAAGGTACATTAACACATAATGAGATTGAATATTATAAAATTTACTATCATTTTATCAATATAATAATTTTTTATTTCAATAATTAGTGTTTAATTTTTAAAAATATCAAATATAAAAATTTTTTAATATAAATATAAATTTTAATACATATTAAACTCAAATTTATCATAAAATCAACAAAAATATTATACATTTAAAAATTAATAATACTCAACAAATCTATTTAAAAAAACCAAAAAAACCTACTAATACAGTCCACACGATAAATTTTGTTAGTGTACGGTAAACAAGACTTTTCCTGTCGATTTCCACGTGGCACTTCATGTGTTTTTTCTTTTTGCTTTTGTTTTTTTCTTATTTTCTTTACAAAAATATGTGAGAAAAATAAATAGTAATTGTTCCTCGATTTCAACAAAGTGAGAATGACGGAGAATTTGTATTTTGACGACAGCTATTAAAAGAACAAACGCAACTGATAATTATAATTTTATGTTCTTTATTTTTTTAATTTTAAAAAATATTATATTTTTTATATTTAAAATGTAATAAATTAATTATAATAACAACAAAATAAAATAAATATTTTCATATAGATAATGTTTTTTATGTGAAAAATATAATAATTAATATAATATTTATAGACACCCAATTTGATTCAGGTAAGAATCAATTAGACTTGATCTAAATGAGCAAAATAGATCTATTTTTTTATTATTTATTTCGTTTATTTTTATTATTTGCTATTATATTATTATTATTATTTTGATTGATTTTATCTTTTCTTGATTAATTAGGAGATAATAATTATGTTAATTAAAAACAATAAAAAAAATAGTTGACGTGAATTTGGGGCTGACAGAGTTGTGATTGGATTCAAAATTTGAATCACAATCCTAGATGAAATTAAGATTGATCAGAAACTCTTATGATCAATCCCT